TTGTTTCGAATCAAAATTGTGGTTTTGTAGATATAGAGATAGTTCGAGAACTTTTTGATCACCCTTCGTACTAGTAGATACATGTACTAACACAAGGTTTTTCATATCGGTTTTATGTGTTTAATTTCTTTGTGTTTCATTGGTGATAATTAAACTTTTGATAGATATTATAAGTTATCTGTGGCAAACTTACAAACTCTTAATTTTAAACTTTGATGGTGCTCATTTTTCCTTACCTGGAATCAAAGAGTTTATTTCAATACGTACACTATTTAACAACTGTTTGATAATAATACTAAATAAATTACTTCAAGCCACACTATAACACATTTCCTCTTTTAAAAGTGTTCATATTATTTGAAATATTTTGCAACTGTAATTCTCTTCTACATTTAAAGATTGTTATGTCCCTCCATATTAAGAAGAGGTCTGGAAAACAAAATTCTGTGCTAAAAATAGACCACGTGCTGCTATCAATGAACTACTTTCAGGGTTCTTTACACTCTTTTTGAAGACAACGATACCTTGTTTTGAACTTAAAATTATCATTTAAAAGTGCAAAATTTAGACATTTTCTCAACAAATGGTTGTAGAGAGAACATTAATGCACAGTTTGCGTATTTTTTTGGATTTTTTAAGGCTCTGCTGAATTCTGTACTGCGCAGTTCTAAGGAGCATATCAAAAGCATTTTTCTGCAAAAGTATAGATTATATATGCACAACATGCATTCAGTTATGCATATTTATTGTATCTTTATCATAAAGACTTAAAATTTGATCAAAATATAATGTACTTTAGCCATTTGAAGAAATGTTTACATTTTGTTCTCACTGCACTAAACAAAAGCTAAAATACATTATATTTTGATCAAATTTTAAGTCTTTTTGATAAAGATACAATAAATATGCATAACCGAATGCATGTTGTGCATATATAATCTATACTTTTGCAGAAAAATGCTTTTGATATGCTCCTTAGAACTGCGCAGCTACAGAATTCAACAGAGCCTTAAAAAATCCAAAAAAATATGCAAACTGTGCATTAATGTTCTCTCTACAACCATTTGTTGAGAAAATGTCTAAATTTTGCACTTTTAAATGATAATTTCAAGTTCAAAACAAGGTACCGTTGTCTTCAAAAAGAGTGTAAAGAACCATGAAAGTAGTTCATGGATAGCAGCACGTGGTCTATTTTTAGCACAGAATCTTGTTTTCCAGACCTCTTCTTAATATGGAGGGGCATAACAATCTTTAAATGTAGAAGAGAATTACAGTTGCAAAATATTTCAAATAATATGAACACTTTTAAAAGAGGAAAGGTGTTATAGTGTGGCTTGAAGTAATTTATTTAGTATTATTTATTATCGAACAGTTGTTAAATAGTTTACGTATTGATATAAAAAAAATTTAAACTCTTTGATTCCAGGTAAGGAAAAATGAGCACCATCAAAGTTAAAAATTAAGAGTTTGTAAGTTTGCCACAAATAAATTATATTATCTATTAAAATTTTAATTATCACCAATAAAACACAAAGAAATTAGACACATAAAATTGATACGAATGACCTTGTTTTAGTACCTACTAGTACGAAGCGTTATCAAAAAGTTCGCGAAATATCTCTATATCTACAAAACCACAATTCAGATTAGATAGCCAAACACACAAGTTCTATAAATAGCATATGCTGAAGTTTTGCTCCTTGTTTGTGATGTCACAATCTGAAAATGACGTCATTATTCAGGTACTTTTGACGAAAAATGGTTGTCTCAGTGGAACTCGTTCAACAAACGACTATAATATTTATGGCACATGTATATCTTAGAAATGCCTTTGAAGTAGCGTATAAGAATTTGTTCACAGTTTATGCTTCCTATAATTTCAATAAATGTTTTTTATTAGCTCTATAATTTCAATCAATGACTGGATATCGTTTTAGTGAAGGAAGGCAGATGGTTAAATATGATACTTGTTATGTTGCCCGGTGAAAGCAAGTTTGAAAAGGGGTTTGTTTTTTAATAAAGCAATATGCTATCAAAGACCTTCAATTAAAATTGTACACTTTGAAAAATACTTGAATATTTCAACAATAATATAAATATCAAATACCTAAGATACTGCATGTTTACTTTTTGATCACCCCTCGTATACTGTGTCAAATAAACATGCATTTACAATTTTCATTACAGAGGAGCAACAGTTGAAAAGGCATGAAATCATTCAGAGTGGGTTAGGAGATTTAATGAATAATTTTTTTTCTATTTGCCCATATTTTCAAAATTACAATTGTACAAAGTAAAGAGAAAAAATCAACATATAAACATCTTTAAAATGATGTTTGGTGGTCCTCCCAACTCAGGGAAAAATTATTGGGTCCGTATTTATAGGTGAGAAAAAAAAATCCTTAAAATTTAAACAGAATTGTTGACGGAAGAAAAAGAAAAAAAATATCATGTAATGGGATGTTAAAAAAATGAGTCGGGCCATTTCTAGGCAGTAGATCGGGAGAGAGGGCAACCAAATATTTTTATAACAAGTGGTCTTATAAGGCTAGTACATGTTCCATCACATACTTAGTAATGCAAATTTTTAAATCTTTGACACTATTTTGAAAAACAAACATAGGATTTTCGGGGGGGGGGGGGGGGGGGGGTTAGCACTCACTTTTTTTGCGATGATAGACATAGCAAATGCAATGGACCTTTCTTTGCAAACATTGTGCTCGCTTCTAAATTTCATAGAAACAACTCATTATATTTTATCAAGCTTCGTATGTTCAATGAGCGAGAGCTTACAACGTTGTCAACATAATGAGACATGATGCGTTTTTGTGTCCAAACATGACCCCATACAATGTGTGGGTCATTGCAAACATTCTAGCTATTTATGTGAGGTGCCTGAAGGAAATCCTATAACTGCCTATTTTTTCTATCTAACTTCTAAACAAAATAGACATATGTACCAACTTTTCGAATGTAAGACATGTAATTACAATTTATTTTTCATGCACTGCATATTGTTTAACATTTTCAAATTAAATGCTAAGCATCCTCCTTGCAGTGCCCCATTTGAAAATAACTTCTATCGCCACAGAAAAAAGACCCACCGTAAACACATATGTTTAGGACATTTTTATCTTTTTTTCTTGAGTTTTAAAGAAACCAACAAATTATCAAGACTTGTTCCATAAAAATTAAATATAATCATGGTAATAAACGGATCTATCCACAGCAGATATATGCACATGCCAACCATGTGCTTAGTGGAATAATATTAACGAGGAATTTCGAGTTGTAAACAGAACAGTTTTTCCCGATTTGCTGGAGTGAGGTTAAAATCGCGTTTTTTCATTAATCAGACGATGCGATGCAACAAATAAAAGTAGTAAGTAATATAACCTAATGATTATTACTTAGTAATTTCTTGTCTTGATGTTATTATGGTCGCATTTATTCTAAAATCATTGTTATTCGAACTCTGTGTGACAGAGGAATGGCGGACGAAATAAACACATGGCCTCAGGAAGACACCCATATGAAAAATCAAATTTTCAAGAATTATGGATAATGACAAGAAAAAAACGAAACAAATGGTTGTAGCCATATTATCAATGAATCAAACTAACTCCATTTTCAATGCATTTTTCATCTCATGAATGCTGTAGCTGCGCAGTTCTAACATGATTAATTTTCTTCTAATTAAGACAAAATAAACTTAATTATTTACTAATTTTGGTCTCTAACAGTAGGTAATTAGTGCATTAGCACTTTGAGTAACTTTGAGCTAGTACATCCCCCTTAAAATTTACAGAATCAGAGTATTAAGCAGCATTCATTGGTTTCTTTTAGCTTTTATTTCCATTTTGCTCCCTTGAACTACCCCTTTTGCCAATAGTGGACCATCCTTGTGCAGGAAGAAGGTGGGCCATACAACAAAATGTATGCATTTTCCTGCTTTTGTGTCTGATCGCATTTTGTTTGAGTCAAAAACATATAAATTGGTGATGAGTGTTTGATACTGGCATGTAGTTTTTAAGAACCCTTTCTCTTGAGAGGGATCTACGAGCATATTTGAATAAAAGTTTGATTACCGATTGTAGAATTTAATCAGAGCTGTAAAAAGTGTTTGTAATTAAGAAAAGTCTACACTTTAGAATAAGTTTATACAGATCATGTATCCATGTAATTTTTTCTCATTTTTATATTTTTGGAAAGAAGAGAAAGATAAAAAATAATTTTAACGCTATTGCTTAATAAGAGATTTCATTAACCACCTCATACTTTCTATCCAGTCTGAACGTTTTAGGGTAATTGGTACTGTATATAGATTAGAACCATGTAAGGCAATATTCAATACTTTTAAAAAGTATATATAATACAGTGTATTCAAATTGTTATTTATTCTAAAATAATTATACTCTCTATTCTCTACAATAAAATGATTTTTAAAAATACATGTATATGATTAAAATATTGTACTCAAATATTTAAAAATAATACAACCTCTGGTATTTTCGTATACATCATCAAAAAAGCTGCAATATACAAAAAAAACAACAACAACAATTCACAGAAAGGAATGCTATGCAGAATCATTAGATGAATGCATGAAAATATTTCTGAATCATTGGAAAGTCAAATCTAATTTTAAATACTGAATATACAATTAGGTATAAAATGAACATGTTATTGATTCTCAATTGATTAAAATAATCCATTAATTACCAGTGTCGGAATCACTTTCAAATAATTGCTAATCACACTTATTCACAACGAATTATAATAAAAAAGATACAAGCTAATCTTTGGTAAATAAAGTACCGGTAATAGGTTTAGATATAAGATACGAAGATACAAGGTATAAACTCGGTGTAGTAAGTCACCTAAACAGCCTATTCCTCATCATTATTTTGTATTTTGTCATCAGCAGCAGCCTTTTAATTGCTGTCTTCTCCCTTGGTGTCGTCTGAATTAACTGAATTCATTTTGATTATTTGCCTGGTGTTTTTTATTGGTTGATATGCATATCAAATTTAGTTTTCTGTATTTTCATCGCTGTTCTGTGGTTCCTCTGGATTTTGATCGCTGTTATTTAGTTCCTTTGGTTTGTCGTCGGTGTTATTTGGTTTTGGTCTTTCATCGCTGTTACTCGGTTCCTCTGGGAAGTCGTTTGGGTCATTTGGGCACCCTGTTGTGTCATTCGTGCCATTGTTTGATGCTGCCTCTGCTTCTTGTGGCATTTCTTTATTTTCTGGCTGATTTGGTTCATGCGTATCCTTGACATCATCCTGAGAGGTGGTTTCGTTAGGATTATCTCCTGGTGGCTGTGAATCGGTTAGTGACCGGGCGTCATCATATTCATCACCGTCAGAGTCAGAGCTTGACGAACCGTCCTCTTTGTCGCCATTGGTTTCTTTTCCAGCTTTTATTTCTATTTTGCTCCCTTGAACTACCCCTTTTGCCAACAGCGGACCATCCTTGTGCAGGAAGAAGGTAGGCCATACAACAAAATGTATGAATTTCCCTGCCTTTGTGTACGATCGCATTTTGTTTGAGTCAAAATCTGAATTAGTCGGGTATTCTGTTTCCATGTAAATTGGTGGATCTTGAATTCGCATCATCCAGCATAGTTCTATGCACTTATTAATGTATTCTTCACAGGTTTTAAATACTTTTTTCTTTATCTTCAGTTTTGACTTTCCTTCCTCAGTAAAAAAGAACTAATAAATAAGAAAATGAATTAGTTTTCAAAGTTAATAAACATAGTTATATATGTATTAACGTTTCATTTTTCAGGGATTAAAACCTGGCATTGTAAATCAACATGGCAACTTGGAAATTGTAGCCTAAACACGAAATAGACACATGTCCTTGGTCTTTAAATATTTATTTTAAGATTCTGTGACACTAAAATACGCTAAAATATAAAGGAAAGGGTGTCAATGAGAAACTGTATTATCAAGTATAAGAAAAATTCATGATTTTAACCAAGGTTTACAAAATGACACGACTCAATAGCATATATGATATTTATCCATATTAAACAAATTACATACTCAAAATTTATCTTAATTTGCAAATAAGGATTTTTTTCTGGTAGAACCATTTCTGTTCAAGTACGATTTACACTTAAATCTTTGTCTTTTTGGCATTGCAATTTCTTCAATTCAATCAGTATTTGGTATTTTTGACAGTATCATAATACGTAATATAGTTTAAAGAATGCTCTCTGCTTTTTACATACCTTTTGCAAATAGTTTATTGCATGTTTTGCGTGCGATTTTCGAAAATCTTTCATTGGTTTAAGCATTTCAGAAGGTATTTCCTTGACATCGACCTTAAATATTGGAAGGGAAAAAGATTGATTTAATATATTTGAAAGATTAAAAGAAACAAAAACTAAGAAAAAAATAACAATTGTGGAACCAGGTCTTTCTTTCAAATGTACTTAAATTGATATCATTTTTAATAAAAAATTACCATTCTTTCTTCCTCACTGTGTATAAATGGTGCAGGTAAAATGAGCATATCCGGGAATGACTGAAGGTGACTGTCTCCAAAGTCAGCGCATGCGTCAAAAACATTCTATACAAATGAATTTGGTTTTAACAGACAACATTTATACAATAAATAATGTCACACACAATTCTAAATTTCTTTTCCTTACAAACCACTTTGCCAAAAATTGAGGTTTTGAATAAATTTTGATATATATATTTCTATCAAAATACAGTTTTTGAGTATATTTGTTAACAAGATTTCATTTCACCCCTAGAATTTGAAAATATACTGACTCTGATTATTTTTAATAAAATTGTAATCCCTTTTTCCTCCCGAATGTTCATTTTAGACTCTAGATTTTCCATGGCGTTTGTCCATTCGTTGTCGTACAGCTCTGACACCTTCTCAGCCAATTTCAGGGGACGGTTTGGATCACTAAGGTCTGTTATTCCGGGATTCTGGTCTCTAAGTCTATTGGCTGCTGCAGCACTTAGTCTGAAGTGAATCCACGATCATGGTTTTAGCACATAGAATAAACAATTCAAGTAAGAGGATTTACAAGATATCTTGGAGATAATGCAGCAATTAGATTGTAATCTCTCTCTCTCTCTCTCTCTCTCTCTCTCTCTCTCTCTCTCTCTCTCTCTCTCTCCGAGTATATAAACGAATAAATACCTATTCAAGGCATTTTCTTTTGCTTTTTTCTCCTCTGATAAATTTTTCTGCAGTTTATCAATGGTTTTCCTCTGTTCATCAATACTTCTACTTAAATTGGTGATGTGATGCTTTAGATTGGCATTGTCCACACTAAGGATTTCATTAGCTTTTGCACAATCTTGAATTATTCTTGCCTGTCTATTGATTTTTTCTATCACCTCTCTTTGAAAATTTGAGAAAATATTATATAAGCTTAGAGAAAGAAATGGGACAAGAGGAAGATAATGCCATATTTTTGTATAAAGTTTTGGTACAAAATAAATATTGACAAAATTTAAACTAGTTTATAAAGAACAGATCGTTTCTTACAAATTGTTGGCTTAGATAGAATATTGTTTTATCTAATGTAAGAACCACGCTTGTCATAAAAGTTTGACTGTATTTGTCAATGAAACATCCCGAAAGGGTTATATATAAAATATCAGGTCCTTTGAATACATACTGTACATGATTTTGAAGTTCTCCCTTTTCCTGTTCCAGTTGCTTTTCCTTTGATATGAAGGTTTCTATTTCTTTAATTAATCTGGGGATCAATCACAATAGGAAAAGTAAACACCAATATCTGGATATTAAAAACCCATGGCCACCTTACCATTTCTTTTAACTGTCATAAACTTTAATGTTTAAATCAGTAATTCTAGTATTTTTTCATTCCAAATTCTATTAAAATTTCATTTAAAAAATTAAGATTATCTAAAGTATTACACATTACTCAAAGTATAGATATAGAAGGGACATGAAAGGGATTATGATTTTAATTTCTATTTCGATTGATAACATGGAAACGGTAATATTTAAGACGCACCCCTCTTTTTCCGCTATTAGCTCCTTTTTTGCTCGCTGTAAGTCGGCAATATCGTCTTCTTTTCTGAAATTTATATATTGGATATTAGAATTGCATTCTGGAGCTCGCTCCCATAAAGTATCATTTTATGTAAAAGATGGGTTTTTTTTTTACTTCTTGCACTCCTCTTCCAGTGATTCCATTTGTCTTTTCTGTATTCCGAAGTCATCACGTAAACTACAGAGAAGTCAAAAGTATGATTTTAAAAAAATCTTTTTTTTTTATATTAAAAGCCAAAAAAAAAAATCATTTCAAATGAAGTATGATAATTTTATGAATCGTTTGATTTCTTTTATTCAAGTCCAATGCAATGGGTTTCTTCTATTAATTCACCTTTATGAACTTGGATAATTATAAAATACCGCTATCTACCACTTTTCACTAATTACAATGTCACCCTAACTCTCTGTGATTCTTTGTTAACTTTGAAATAGCATAAAGCAAGCGTATCATGTCTCTTGTCAATCATAACTTTTCTACCAGTAACCATAACGCAGATCATCACAGTGAAAAACAAGAAAACATTGATGTTACCATCAATTGTCGCCCGGGAAATATAAAATGTAAACAATTGAAAAAATGAGTCTTGATCATCGAACCGCTTCGATATGTGTGAAAAGGCTTGCGTCTAATTGATGGAGACGATAGTCGCAAATATTTTGAAAATCTATAGTCGGATAAAAATAAAACAAAAATGATACTATTTGAAACTTGATTAATTATTCAAGTAAATGTTGGCTGCATAAAATATAAATTGAAGTTAGACATATGCATCACCTATATTCAAAAAATCTATTTTCAATTTTAGTATATAACCACGAACTGTGCAGAGTACTTTTTAATGCGAGAAGTAAAATTCGATGTTCTAAAAAAAGGGATCCGTCATTTTTTCGATAGTAAATAATTTTACTTTATATATTAAATATGAAGAACATACATGTATATATATTTTACAGATTCCCTTTATTGAAGTAAATATATTGTGTAATTAGTAATTTATAAAAGAAAAAACTTTTCTGATTAACAATCTTTTCAATGTTTCGAAAACCTTTAATTCTGAATAACTTCTCCCTCCCAAATCCCCATACACCAACACTTTAACTTATATGTATAGAGAAGCCCGGTCCTCCGAGCTGCAACAAGTCAATCTTTAGAATGCTTTCCAGGTAAGAATCTGACTTTGAGCACGGATTGCTCATTTAAACCAAAACCTCATTTTTATTTTTTTTTCTATATACATGTACATGTATACAATATTCCTTCTTGTATCCTCATTTAATCAAACACTCACTAAATTGTTAATAAAATTATGTATAAGTATTTCTTGATCAACAACATCTAGGGAAGGGCAGTGACTCTTATTTGCTTCACTTATAATTTTGTACTTTGATTGCTCACTCAATACCTAGAAGCAAATAATTTATATTTTATATTTAAAACATTCAGATTGATAAATTGCATTTAAGATTTTAAAGTTTTTTTTAGCACAAGTATTCAGGGACAGGAGAGATTTTTAAAGCATAAATACATTTTGCTCATTAATCAATATAGCTAAAACCCTTGACCCAGGAGTCATGAAATTCATAATTTTGGAAGAGGCACTCTTCCTCATTATAACTATATACTGTGTTTGTTATATACCAAGTAGCAGAGGAGAAGATTTTCAAAGTTTTTCTTTATATTCAGTATTTCATGAATAACCCTATTCCCACTGGGAACCTCAGACCCAGGAACATAAAATTAACAATTTTGGAAGAGGCACTATGTACTTAGTTCATCGGCATATTATCTAGAACCAGAGGAGATTTTTAAAGCAAGCATTTATTAAATCGGTTTATAATAGATAATAATTCTTCCTACAACCTCTGACACAGGAGCCATGAAATTCACAATTTTTAAAGAAATTAGTTCATAGGCTTAATAACAAGGAGCAGTATAGACGAATTTCAAAGCATTAATTTATTTTCAGTCTATAATAAATAGGCTTCCACATGGAACCCCTGACCAAGGGCCATGAATTTCACAATTTTGGAAGTAACAATGTTTCATAAAAACCAATGAATAAGAAAATGTGACTCTGAAGTCCATTTGTGTCAAAGTTTTAATGAAATCTGATTGAAATAGGAGGTAGAGAATAGAATTTTAAAAGATTTTCACAGAAAATTGATTTTTAGTAATCGTCAGAACAACTGAAATCAAAATTCAAAAGAGTTGTTTCTCAGTTTGGACTACTTGCGTAACAAGTAAAAGAATGAGTGCATTTTAGTACTCATTTGGAACCTTTTTGGCTATCCATTTTAATCTTTACATTACAATATATCGCCAAATCAATCTATGATTACTATGCAAGCATATGCTTTTAATATTTATGCGTTGAACTTTTGTCATACATATTTCTATAATTACAGACAATATCATTGAAGTGAACATGTATAAGCCTAAAATTCCGGAATGGATGAGTAATTTTAACATAAGCAAATGTGATTTTTTCAAAATCAGATTCTACACATGAATTTAAATGAAGAAGAGCAATGAGCTCACTAAATGATACCTCCGCCTTCCATATGAATATAATAACAGTGTCCATGTTTTGCTATTGGAACCCAAAATATATGTCAGGTCAAAAAGTAAAATAGGAGGTGCACAATGGAAATATGTAACAAACTTAAGGTTCTGAGAAAGTGTCATCAAATTTCAATCAGTGGTATGAGAGGAGTTGCAGATTAGAGATGGGTACCACAAAGCGTAACAGACGGACGGACTGACAGACGGACGTGACCGACAGACGGACGGACGGACATACCGATTACTATATATACCCTCCGTCTTTTCAAGCAGGGGTATAATAAAAAAGTATATACCTTGTAATTTCTTGAGTCAAATTGGCAATGTTTGCTTTGTGTCCAGTCAATTCGCCTTCTGAATTCTTACAAGTTTCTTCTAGCCTTTAGAACAAATAAATTAAGCTTAACATTTCGTGAGTAAATATATATAGACGCTGGAAATTAAAGTGACAAAACATAAATAGACTTGTTAAAATTTTCATATAGGTTTTGGAATTTTTTTCATACTCATAAATATATACTCTTTCAGAAAATTGCAAATTTTATAAGTATAGAATTCTGAATATTTTATTAAAATTAATAATTATTTATGGTACATAAATATATACATCGCAACGTGCTCGAGGTTCCACATTCCATGCTACACACGGATGTGTATAGTTTCATAAAGAAAACAGCATGGTAAGTGAGGGAAGCCCGGTAGGCCTACTACATAGACAAAGTCATCCAAAAACGAAAAACAAAACCAAAAATAGGGCTTGAAATTAAAAAGCAACTTTTCTGGAAAAAAATTCAGTTGGGAGATTAATATAATCATAGGATGAAGAAGAAACGGGATCTCGGCGACATTCACGTGGGGCTCGCGAAGGTTCTAACCTTCAGGTTTGTTGATACATGCTATCATTTCTCGTATTTCCATGGCTTTCAAAGAAAAAAAATTGCACTCAAAACATATGAAAATTAGTGCCATTTGATTTGCAAATTGTATTGGAACTGCAGAAAGATATTTTGTTTGACATTTTGCCGCGATGACGTATGATTTGGTGGATTTTCCTTTCCTGTACCCCAATACACAAAACATCAACATTTGTACTTAATCATGTTAAATTCGTCTAAATACAGACTTAAATGTTAACTATTACTAATTTACCGGAGAGTTAAGATATTTTGATTCTGAGAATTGTTTTTACCTAATATTCCATTATAATTGTAAACCCTACATTGTATGTACGTCCAATTTTAGAATTCACGTGGTACAAGTAAACAGATCTAAGTTGTTTGACCCTTGATTCTCAGACAGATTCTAATTACGTTAATTTTGTACGAGGATAGAATATTTATTTTTCTCAAATGCTTACTTCAACTTTTTACCTTATTCATGAATGATATATTGGGAAAATTTAAATGAAAAAGCACTCGATTTGCAGCCGTATTGCCGCTTTAATTAGAGCTTTTCTTAGTTATAAAATCATTACATCATGACATATAATATTTTTATCTCTGAATCTTAGGATTTAAAATGATTATGACCAATAAGTGTATGTAAACTATAAAATAGATTTTTTGCTAAAGGAAAATTTTTCATACCATTTAATTTTCTTTTCTCTTTCAGTAATAATGTCATCCTTCTCTTTAACTTGTAAATCCAATTCGTTGATGCGGTTTTCATATCCTTTTTTTTCTTTTCTGAGACTGAGAAGTACACAATTATAGTTTTGTAAAAGACTGAAATTCCTCATCACATTTATCTCATGGAGTTTCACCATCACCACCATCCCTCAACCCAATACTCAGCCTCAACTCTGAGGTTTCCCCATTAAATGTATTCCTATCCTTACCCTTTTATCAGTTGCATTTCATGGTTCATTTGAAATCTTAAAGTTAACGGATTTTTTAAAAAAGATTTCAGAATTTGTTTATGAACATAATTTAAGGAATTAAAGAAAAAAGAGAATCGAAGACATAAAAAAACAAGTTCATACCTTTCATTTTCTTTGATCAATTGATTATTGGTTTCTTTCTGCTCCTTGAAATCCTTGTCTAGTTTTTCACAACGATTTCTATCCTTTTTGTATATTTTTTCCAAATCATCGAATTCTTTTTTCCACCTTAAAAGTCAATTAATTGCACTCAGCTGCAACTTATTGAAGTTATAAAAATGGTTTTATCAGATTTTGTATAATCCATATCTTAATTGAATTTTTTGATTGGATCTGTTCTGTTTGGATGACGTTTTTTCTGTCAAGTTTAAAAAACAATTTTTCCGTGTCTGCTTTTTTTCATTACCTGTATAACTATATAAATATATGTCTTCACATTCATTTCACGGATTATAAAAACCAATCATGCATTTATTTAATTCACTTACCTTTCTAAGTTCTGTAAACAAAATCAAAATGATATCATCTGTTTTAAGTTATACATTTAATTGCCTTATTACCTGTCACCTTCGCCTTTCAAACGTTCAACTTCGCCTTTTTTAGCCAACTCAAAATCAAAAACTGGCGGGTTACTGTCTTCCGTAGCTCTATCCTCCTGTCAAATATTGTCAAGAAACACAATCGAAAATTAATAGTTTCCCTTTTGCTTATAACATATGTGAATCTGAGTCTGAAACCCACTAATACTTAAAGAATTTTAAGTCCAAGCTTGTTTTTCTGGTCTATTTAAAAACCTTCGTAAAAATGTTAAGCAATAACATACCTTCAGTATACCTTCGAGAGAATGCTCAAAGTTTTTTGCTAACTCAGCGTTTTCCCGTGTTAACTTTGTATTTTTTGTCTTTTTTTGAAGTTTTTGAGTTGTAATCCCTAAGTTTCTGAAGTGTCCATGTTGGGCGTTTCTTTGAATTAGAAAATAAAATAAATAAAAAAAAAATTAAAAAGAGCAAGCTATTCCTGCAAGCTATATTTTTTTGAGTACTCCACTCAAAACGTTTATTTTTTCCCCTTTATTAGAAGTTCTAGGTTTTCAACGACAACTTCAACGAGTTTAATTACAATTAATCAATCAATATAATTGTCAGGTTTTTATTATGATAAATTGTGATTTTGAATGATTTATATACAACATATAGTTTTTGACTAAAAATAGCTTATATAGGTACAAAATTATTGAAGCAGAGTCCATGTTATATACATGTTGCATAAAAAACGCTTAAATTGATTATCTTGAGAATGAATATTGATTTGAAATTAAAGAATGTAAAGGCACCCATTGATACATTTTAATAGTAGAATTACACCTGTGTCTGAATCATGCACATACAAAAATGTTAGCATGGTATTTATCTACTGATTGTGATAGTACAAATAGTACATGCAGGACATATATTTTATAGATGGGTGAAGTCGTTCTATCAGTACTCTCTACTTAACCTTTAGACTCTTTTAAAAATTACTCACTAATTAATTTAGTTTAATTCGTTAACAAAGTTTTTCTTATATTTCTGAAGAGATATTTCAAGCAAATAGAAAATGATTTAGACTGGTATTTAAAGGGAAAGTAAGCGTTTATGAGCAAAACCCATCCTTGCTTATCATCTGAATTGAAACCAATTTTTAAGAACGATCAACGACAAATACGACAACTAATTTAATTGATATTTATTGAAACAAACTTAATCGGTTTCAGAGAATATTTTAGCAATCCTAGCTAAAATTTTAATTAAAACGAAAGTAGGTAATATAACATTTAACAAATAGCATGAAAATCATAACAAAAATTCAATGCATGCGTTCTAATTAACAATTAAACCATGTAAATCTATTAACATTAATATTACTAAATAACAGTTGTAGGGGTAAATGTTATGTACCTGTTTCCCGAACCACCTCCACCACAAAGGAAAGAAGCCATTCTTTTGTATTCGGTTGGGATTTACGTCCAGGGAGTAGTCATTGTATTTTAAAAATAGAATCGTTTAAAGTGAAACTTTTAAAGCAAGGATTAATTTCCCTTGTATTGCATTATCAATTCTTCTTGATAGATGTTATTACCTTTTATTTGAATAAACTTGAATTTGAAGGGTGCTTTTGGAACTTTGGTTATTGAGAAGATTCCAAAAATGTAAAATATTTACAAGATACAGAAAGATGGACGCGGACAAGGATACTAGGATCAGAATAGCTCACCTGAGATTAATATCAGAAGAGTTTAAAACATTTATTTTGAAGTATTTTAATAAATATGAAATCCTAACGATCATCTTTTTATGAATATCCCATTATTAATAACAACTTATCTAAGAATACAAAATATATATATGCATTTCCCCAAAACTGAAAAAGAAGGAAAGAAGGAAAGAAATGATCAAATATTTTTATTTGCGTCCTTCAATCTGTGTAAATCAGAATTAATCTCGAAATTTAATTAACATTTGCAAAACAAAACAAAAATCAACAAATTAAAATGAGGAAATGTATTTTTTTCTTTTTGATAAAAACAAATTCATGACTTCATTTCATAAACTCCAGGCCACAAGAAAACGTTCTGTGCATCTGATGTTTGAATGTCTTTGGTATTGTCTTTCAGGCAGTTCCAATCAAGTCGAACTTCTTTGAATTTCGCAGCCATTCTCCAAAATGTAATTATGCTCAACTCTTTAAATATGTCTACTGCACGACATACGTCAACATCGTCAAATTCTAACATCCAAGATTTGTCTACAATCTAGAAAAGAAAGCCGTTTTCTCGTTATACGAGATTTGATATTTTGACATCAAATGATCCTTCCCCTGCATACAAAATTAGCTAAGTATAAGTTAAGTGACAAAAGATTTCAAACAAATAACAATGTCGGTATGACAATATGAAAAAATGAGAAAAGAAAAAGATGCATACCTTGTATATATCTGACAGTATTAACTTGGAGTTGGCCTCTACAGTCTTGATGGAAAGATCAAACAAGCGAGGTGGTTTTGGGAACTACATGTAGAAAGTAAATATGCATACTACCTGAGACACGTTCATCTACACCAAAATCTATGTTCCATTGAAATACATGTATATCGAAATATATAAAATATACTTCTCGGAATATTATTGTTTAGTACATGCTTAATTGAATAATTTATAGACAGTTTTAGAAGAGTAAGCATTTTTCTAAATATCATAAACGTAAAAACGTAAAAAAAGTGCTCTATTAAATTTTTAAAACGTTGAAATTTGAATGGGAAAAAATACCTCATATTCGTGACTAGTTTGTCTTCTTATCATATCCATTTCTAGCTTTTGATCGACACATCTATTTAGTTTCTTTCTGCATTCAACATAAGCCACCTAGTTAAATAGATGAATCTGTTTTCATTAGTTCATCTGAATCATTCTATAAAAACACACTTGATGATAAACCCTTATGAAATACTGTTCAACTTACATGCATAATTTTTCCAAGGAGATTTATTATCTGGTACTCATTGTGTCCTTTTGCCACCAAATATTTCCTGGTATCACTCCATTGATGCACGAGCAATGATGACATACAAGACAAAATCTCGTCATATTTGTTTTCATATTTAGCAGAACATTTTCTAAAATCATCTTGTATTATTGAGAAAGTTTGTTTATCTTCTAAAATATCCTCTTTCTGGTCAGAAACGTAGTTTGTTTTATTCATTATATGTGCTGCTTCTTGATACCTCTTTAGTCTTGAAAATAAATATATTACATTATATTACATACTGCTGCTACTACCATAAACATTTTATTTATACTTTTTAGCATTATACGTGGCAAGAGAAATATCGGAAACTGATTGAGAGTTTAACTCACTTTTCTTCTACATCTTTAAGTTGGTGCTGTAATCTTCTGACCTCTCTACATTTTTCTGCACATTCTCCTTCTATCCTATAAATCAATTAAGAATATATGTAAACATAAATTAATATTGACTTTAATATAAAATTGACCAAAAAAAGTTGTTAAGTTTAAATTTCTTTACTTAAGACAATCTGCTTCTGTACGGGTGTGTTTTGTGTTTAAATTTATAAGGGCTACTCTGTAGGTCTGAATGTCTCCTTCAACTTCTTTTATTTTCGTATTTAATCTGAAAGTAACAAAAATTAAAAACTCCAATTTCGTATGCTCTTTCAAACGTATTATCTGTAGAATTAGCATTTAAAAACAGAGATCTGTCATAAGTGCATGAAATAATTTATGTTTTTCATGACAATTGTTTAGGAATGTTTACAACTTATCATCACTTGCACGTACCTCTCTTCATTCCTTTCATATTCCTTGATGGTTCTGTCCATCTCCTCAGCTTTCAGAGACAACCTATCTTCCAACTGATTTATCTTCTGTTTTAAATGTTCTATTTCATCAGATAATCTTGGAGAAAAAATGAACAATTACTGATAAGTTTAGAAATAAAAGATGACTGAAAACAGATAAAAATACATTTCAACAATTACAAAATTAAAAGTTTCCTATCTCGATTTCTCTATGTATAAGTTTATAATTCTGTTTTTTTTTTTTTACAACACAGGCATTAATCTATATTTTTGAACTTAAAATTGGCATTACTGATTATACTTACTTATATTGACAAGTTTCAGAAGTCTGCAGTTCTTTTCTAAGACAATTAATGGTTTTTATATGTCTATCTTCTGACTCTTGCAAGCTCCGTATTCGGAGTTTGTACTCTTGACAATCATCTTCCAAATGTTTTATGTCACTTTCTAATTTATTAATAACATCAATTAATGAAAGATTTACAGGTGATGATTCTTCTTGGTCCGGCGAGACTGGTGACTGGTGTATACACAAGGCCACATCTCAGAATTATTACTGTAACCATTGCTCTAAAATAAAGTTAAATTATCTGTATACTTAAAAATAAAATATAATGACTGATAATATATGTGGATATCAGCAACTAATAAATTAAATTAATATACATTTATAAAAATATAAACTTTGAGAGCAGCAGAATCTTCAAATAAAGATTGAAAAAAATGTACAATACCTCTAAATAATGTCTAAAATGTTTTTCCATAGTTTTGATATTTGCTAAAATTTGGTTGTCGAGCTCTGAAATATCTAATTTTCGTCGGTCTTTTCCTTTCATAGTTTTTGCATTTTCCAAATCTTCTAATCGTTTTATAGTCAGTCTTAAAATAGGTAAGTCCTCCGTTTCATCCCTAGGCATACTGCAATAATTAAAAAATAACATGACTGTCTACTTCGAGGAGACAAATTAAATCTTACAAGTTTAATGTACAGTCAATCGATAAATTAACAAATCATATAAATGACTTTAATGTAATCTTTTACTCATATATCTCACACAAAACAAAACAAAAAATGCACAATATTTATAGGCCTAGTCACTTGCTTACCACATGTATATATTTGTTGCCTTAACTTCACACCATATTTTATGATAATGAAAACGATACACTTCGGTGGTATGAAACTGATATCAATAAAGTATGCCATTTCTTCGGATTTTTTTTCACTACAGGCAAATACGGCATGTAAAAATTTACCTTCTCTTCGAAGTGCAAGACATCCTCAATAGTCGAACTCTCAGTGTATCAGGTAAACCTGCAGAATGTAAACGACTGATGAAAAATTAGAGTTATCTTCCTTGTCCAGGGGGGACGTCGGTATTCAACGCGGTGGGGCACCAGAGGGATATATGTAATAAAGGTTGTTGGTTCTGCAAACATTCAGGTAGGCTTGATTTAAAAAAAAAAGTTAAAAAATTTAAGTAATTAAGCAATGTCTTATATAAATATGAAATGCGTCTTAAAATTATATATATATGTCATTTATTTGAAGAATGAATTTGAATTTATAGCACAGTTCTTTCAAAAATTTATCTTTGTTAACTACATTAGAAGTATTTCACACTAAAGAAATGGTTCTATTTCGGCATAGTATGCTTACGCTATATAAATCCTTAGAACACTATGCGCGAATAGTAGGGCATGGGTTATATAGAGACAAACTGACAAGAAGCATTATAATGTTAAACAAGTTTATCTTTTAAAAAGATAGGTGAGCTAGCGCCGTAGCATTTTTTAAACACAGAAAGGAAGATCCGTGATCAAGTGATTTATTTTGCTGAATTCTTTAATTTTTATCAAGGCTGGAGAGTGATTGCCTGACGTCACGGCGTCAGGCTGTATAAGGATTGATAATTGCTTGATCCGAAACTAATAGATCATACCCAGAGAGCTAGATTTTGTACAAGCTGATTCACATTGGAAATCTTTTACCTGCATTTTAAAAGAAACTTTTTTTCAGGGAAACAATGATTTTACTAATGCAAAATAATGCAGTATTTACTTTGTTTACTCTGTATGCATGAAACAGATTATTCCAAGTGATTTACCGTTTCAACGTGTCCGTGTATCTTTTTTTTCTGCATTTCTATACTACTGGATCAGTCCATTTATGTTCTACAAAAGGGGTGAATCGCTCTTTTCGCGCCAAATATCACGAGTAAGCGATCTTCGCACCTTTTCTTGGATTGTTCTATTGTATGAATGGGGGTGCTAACTTCCATGGAATTAAATAAAGTTTGTTATAATTGTAACCTCCATCTTCTTATGATTCAGAAATTCTATCTACAAATTATATCATTCCTTAAAACAACATATGAATCGTATGTATCAGAATATGGACATGCAAAACAAAAGAAATGATTTCTCTCTGTTGGTTTATTCCATATTTTAATGGACTAGTCCAATCACCACAAACGATCGACGCAGTTCAACCAGGTTCCAGAGGATTTGACGAAAGAAATTACCTGTGCGAAATCTTGGATTTCTTTTCCACAAAGGCCTAAATGTTGGTTTTACCTATTTCGTGCTAAAAAAATTATAGTACCCACGTTTCAGAAAAAAAGATAAATGAACACAAACTACATGTACTACTGTTTACTTCATTGGAGAAAATGCTTTCCTACAACATATGTATTTATTTATATCCATTCTCTAAAATGTTCACAATGAATGATTTGACAACAAATTTCAGAATAGGTGTAGCTTTAAATTTAGATCCAGGGGTAGATCAATCTACTTGCAGAAAAGTCTATCGCATCATCTCGGATCTTTTCGTCAGAGGTCGAAAAACAAACTCGAATGTATCGACATCATCGGATGTTAAAAATTTATACATTTCCTGTTCATAGTAAAAACGGAGTTAGAAGTCCCTTCTATAGTATATTTTAGATAATATCATTACATTGAATAAAGTTAACTCCATATTCCACAGAAAATAGGTTTATATACATCATCCATGCATTTATTTCAAAGTTTGTGAAAGGGGTGTGTGTGTCATGGCGTATAACAGGGGCGTAACAACGGGGGGGGGGGGGGGGCAGGGGGGCCTGTCCCCTCCCACTTTTTTCCCAACCTTACTTATACTATAGGAAATGTTAATTGAAAGCCTGGTTGCCCCCCTCCCCCACCTTTAGTAATGTACCGAAAATGTAGTTTTAGAATCGGTACTAAAAGTAGTTGACACTGAGAAAAATTTTACACCCCCCCCCCCCCCACACACACACACACACGAAAAAGGATTTTCGACTTCTTCTTTTTTTTTTTTTTTTTTGCTTGTCATCTTTTTCAGGTAAGTAAAAATATTTTTTCTCTGGCTGCCCCCCCCCCCCACTTTCAAAAACGATGCTACGCCACTGTATTTAAATTAACAATACATTTGTGGTCTCCTTCCCTAGATAAGGCCCGAGGAGTGGGAACGAGAAGTTGCGATTGGCAGAAAACCCAAATACATTAACCATTCTGTTAACAGCTCTTCAGAATGCAGCAAAGGCATCGTTCTTTTACAAGTTAAATAAGTAAATATTTTTACAAGGTTCTCAAGTAAAAAGACATACAGTGTATTTCAAAAACACAAAAAAGTATTGCTCAAAAGGTTTATCACTTCTCTTACAGATATTGTTTGATTACGTCAGGCAAGCTTTTTGAAAAGCTGTTACTTGTAAAGTTATTATTGTTCTGTGAGACCTAACACAAATAGTGGATTTATTCGTTATTTTTAGTGTAAATTCTTGCTTCTGTTTCTGGAATTTGTAAGATTGGCTGAATTGACCAATCAGAAATTAGAATCTATCTTTGATTGTGCTTAGATGTAAAAAAAAAAAGAAGAAAAAAAACCTCCCTTGTCATTGTTTAGAACAATCACATAATGATTTGGGCTTTTCCGTCAGCAAAAAAAAAACAAAAAAAACCAGAATTTGAAATACTATAAATATGAAGTTATCTTTAAAGTGTAAGTTACACAATAAATAAACAGTTATTTCATGCTACAACACGATACAACGAAATTGTTATCGTACGGTCTATCTGTGGTAGTTTTTCACAGTTTTCCCAGAATGCACGGCCATGGCGGCCGAGCATGCGTATTCAAGGAATTTGGACTAACGTAGTTGCTAGCGCTCTAGAGCGCTAGCAATAATTTAATCTTAGTTGTAACACGTCATTTGATTGGTTAAACGGTTTTATCCATTTTGTATAACATGACTTGCCTACGTCACATTGAGTTACGTCAAAAACGTATTACTCCGCTTGACGTTAAGGACGTTCGATCCTGAGATTTTGAGCGTATTTTGGTCAGGTCCTTTATTTATAAAATTCTGCATCATTTTTAAGTTCTAACATTAAATCTGAATTCTACAGTGCACATTTAACTATATCCAATGAAAAAACCGCGATTAAATTCCATTCAAATAGAATTAAGCTAGGGACTATATTTTGTGGCGGAAGGTTTTTTTTTTAGAAGAAAATGATCAGTTTTTCCATTTTGAACTATGATAGTACTTTTACTTTTGGATTCCTAATTTTTCCATCCTGGTTGCACACAAGCTGTTTTTTTGCAGTGAAATGTGTTATGCTGGTTCGATTCTTAAATATCTATGAAATTATTTCTTATGAATTCTATCAACAAAGTGTGACAAATATAGTCAACATATTCTGAAAATCCGGGAAGAAATTGAGCCAATTTTAACTTAAAATTGACACTTTTTTTTAGTAATATATGAAAATTTACATCATATACCCCCACTTTTGATGTTCTTTTCTAAATATTCAAGATAAATTTAACCTATTTGCTTAAAATCAGAAAAAAAGTTTAAGACTTTAAAATAATTTTCTTGCTTATTAAATTTTCAATGCCAGAAAAATAACTTTTTATTAGTGCATAAAGGTCAAATAATTGATTATGCGAAGCAATTTGAAACTTTTTCTCAGTCACAATTTTTAAATGTCTCGTTTTAAACAAACTTAGAGTTCATTTTGTTCCATGCTTTAATTGGATAAAATTATTGGAGGGAAACGTCAAAAATTTAATTTATAATTAAGACACAAATTTCAGTGCAAGAAGGTCATATTAAATGTACTGTAGCGCCAAAAGAAGCACATTAACCCCCATTTCTTGATTTGAATTTTAATTAAGCTTTGTATGTAGAAACTAAAAAAATATACTACGCCAAAAAAGTTTAAGACTTGAAATATCAGGATCGAACGTCGTTAACTTTCAAAATATGCGATATTTGAAGCCCATTTCCGGAGGAAAAATATGGAAAAATTGTCTAATTATCTACTTTGAAATTAAATTATAAGGAATAAAGCTTATTTCAACTTATATGTTATACGATATAACACAACTTGGGACAGTTTACGCTTTTTTATAAACCGCTTCACGAGATATGTTATATCCTATAACATAAGTTGAAATTAGCTTCATTCCTTAAATAATACTGTTTGACAAAACCATATACGCGTTATTTTTGCAAAAAGTTAATAATATTTTATGATACACAATAGCATGTAGTTTTTAAATACTTTTAAAATTATGTCAAGTTTTAAGTATTGTGCTTAATTATTATTACTGTACAATTTCGAAGAACAATTTCAATAATCAATATTTTTGTATTTTACACGATTAATTATATAAAGTTTACATTCTACACGATTAATTTCCGAATTTAATTATACCCCACGCAACTAGTTGCGGGAGGTATAATGTTTTTGACCCGTCCGTCAGTCAGTCAGTCAGTCAGTCAGTCCTCTTTTTTTGTCAGCGCAACTCCTCATAAACCGCTGGACAGAATTTCGTCAAACTTTGCAGGTATTTAGGACACAATGTGTAGATGTGCATATTACCAGGAAATTCCGATTCCTTTATTTTTTCCGGGAATTTCCGCACTTTTTAACTTAGGCATTTGGCCATACCTTGAATATAGAGATGAACAGTTTGTCAGCGCAACTCCTCATAAACCGCTGCACAGAATTTCGTCAAACTTTGCAGGTATTTAGGACACAATGTGTAAATGTGCATAGTACCAGGAAATTCCGATTCCATTATTTTTTCCGGGAATTTCCGCACTTTTTAACTTAGGCATTTGGCCATACCTTGAATATAGAGATGAACAGTTTGTCAGCGCAACTCCTCATAAACCGCTGCACAGAATTTCGTCAAACTTTGCAGGTATTTAGGACACAATGTGTAGATGTGCATATTACCAGGAAATTCCGATTCCATTATTTTTTCCGGGAATTTCCGCACTTTTTAACTTAGGCATTTGGCCATACCTTGAATGTAGAGATGATCAGTTTGTC